TTAAAATTGACAATTCCATTAATATTTTTGTCCTTATATGGGCCCAAATAATGTGCACTCTTAGGGAAGATTGTCAAAAAAAAAAAAAAAAAAAAAAAAAATGTAATTCCAAAATCAACAAATTCTTCCACATTAATCTTTGGGGTGCAACTGGCAAGTTCCATCTCCCCTCCTTTTCCAGTGAGTTAATATTATAAAACGTGCAAGAATCAACAAGTTATAGACGACAAATAAAATGATTTGAGTGTCACCATGAGCTTACAAATATGACCTACAAGGTGCTTTCTTTGATTCCAAGTTATGGAATTCTTTTACAATGTCACCATGTTCTTCTTCAGTCTCCTCTACATGCCTTTTGTTGCCCACTCGCCCCTCAATACATGTCAAGATTTCAATATTGGTAAAGAGATTTCCATGTTGTTCATCACAAATGGACAACCCTACACTCCATCAACCAAAGGTTGTGCCATGATTTTCATTGAGTTGCTTATAAGAGTAGTAGATGCAACATGTGGATTTGTAGTGCCTAGATTGATCGATTGTCACCTCACTAGATCCATCTTCCCTCCTCTTCCAGTGCGATGGATCTTGCCGATTGCACCTCCAAGGCTATTGTCAAAGAGATTGTTGATTTTGAGATAACAATTTTATTTCTAACAATCTATGTAAGAATGCACATCATGCAAGACATCTTTTGATATACTAAATTACAAAAGCCACTATTTGGACCTATATGAAGCCAAAAATATTAATGTAATTGTCAGATTTCTAATATCTTATTAAGCTGAAGGGTATTTATGCTACTATCAATAGTTTTAGGAATACATATACTATTATTAACAAGTTTAGGGATATGTATGCTATTATCAAGAATATAGGGATATTCTTGATATTTCAAAATATTTGAGAGATATATATGCTATTTTTTCTTAAATAAAACTAATTGAACCTATGATATTGTCATGGAAAACATGACTCCAAAGAAACATTTTTCCAAAGACATGTTTGTGAGCCAAAAACTATTTTTTACAATTTTTTTGAAAAAACAAAGAAATAAAATACACGATGGAACTTACAACTATGAAGGAGGCTATTTGGGATCAAATCCAGCTACTTCTAATTTAAAGAGCTCTCTTCTTGATTGTCTTCAAAAATCTAAACTCAAGTCTTATATATAAGACACCTTTCAATTCTTTGTATGGAATGTGTCTTAACTTGTATATGTATTCTATCTTGACAAGTATATTATCCAATCTTAAGTACAAATGTTGTATTCACATTCCACAAGTTTGCAAAGTTGGTGCTTACTTGTGCATGAAATTCACAAATAGTAAAAAGATGCAATTTAAAACAATTTGTGACTCGGGAGGTGATAAATTTTTTAAAGGAGGAAATTTTTTTATCAAAAAATGTTCAATGTTTAGTCAACTCCAATAAAGATGTGCTCATAAAATTTGCGGCACTTGATAAGAGGTAGGCCTACTAAATTGAGAATTTGAAGTTTGCTTACTGTTGTGGTATATATGAAGTTGTCTCCAAGCTTTGTTTTAAATGAGAAGAATAGAAAAGTTGAAATGTGACATGATTTTTCAGCTTCAATACACATTTTGAAACATCAAAAGAAAAGAAAGAAAAAAAAAAAGTGCAAAACCACTTCAAACTACTCCTCAATACTACTTGCAAAAAATGAAACAACAAATCAAATGCAAACTTAAGCACTACCTTACAACACCCCAAAAGTTAAACTCTTACTACTCATAATATTGAGCAATGTTTTATAGACTCTCTCCTCTCCAAACAACACTCACATCAACCAGTGATTGTCCATAAAATCTCAAGAATATAGAACCTAAAGTAGTGCACCTCAAAAATAAACCAAATCCAAGTACCTCAATGCTCCTCCTTCATGCCCTTCTACCTTGTAATGCACCGATTCAGTCCCAAAAAGGCTTATAGGGAGTAGCAGGAAACCACTTGATTATGTGCATCATGATAAAGTTCGTGGAGGTGCTTCTTATACTAAAGGATCCCAATTCCAATACAACTCAATGTGTAGCTAAGCTTGCATAAGACATGTAAAAATTATGCAAAGAAGAGTGAACTGCACCACAACTCTAGCACTTCTCCTTAATCATTGAATTTCTAATATACTAATCTCTCTCCATGGCTCTTCATGCTTACATACAAAAGCATAGGGAGATAATTGGATACTTTGTAAAGCATCACAAATGTCCTTCTCTGTGGATACCATATCGCAACTCATAATGTCAACCTCTACAATTTAAAATTGATGGCAAACAAGAAAACCTAGCGGACACCATATCATTTATATAAGATACTTGATCAGTTTTGGAATTGGGCACTAACTCCACAACTTCAAATGATGTCAATCATTCAAAAAAAATTTGATAAAAACTTTTGTTGCATTAAATAATCTCAAGTACAAAGATTCTTTTAGAAGTAGAAGTGAATCATATGTGATGAGGCCCTATAAAATCGCAAATTTTTGCTTCACTTTTGATGAAAACAATTAAGTATGCAGCAAATCAAAAAGAATTTGTCTTTCCTTGTTTATCGTATGTATTTGTCCCCCCGCCCTGCATACCTTGTGTTACAATCTTATCAAGTCATTGTAAGATACTTAAAAATCATCATTGAACAATTGATTATATAAGTTTCAATAACATCTTTACATATGGGCATTTTAGCTGAAACCGAATTACAAAGTTAGACGTTTTGGTGTAAATCTTTGCTCGACAAAAATGATTAGAATTCTCTTAGTAAGTACGCAACTCCTGTCCTATGGATCTTTAGAAATGATGTGACACAGTATATATTCGACAAATGTACAATTAACCTATTCTGCGTCGTGTCTATGGATAACTCCAACTCTCTGCCTTGGATCTTCAGTAGTGAAGTGAAACTCTTGTGAAGGAAAAACTATCAGATGTGTCTTTATCAAACTTCATACACCATCTACGACAATTATACCAAACGACCATTTTTGATGTTGCTTCACAATTCGAAAATGTTGAGACCACTATTTATTCAGGAAACTTTGGCCCTTGTTCTGTGAGTGTAAATTCTCATCCATGTCCAATTCTAAAAATTCTAAATGTCCAGTACCTTCAATACTGCAATGTGATGGACATTGTGACCTCTGAAGCATATTCGTTCCTACTCATTGAAAGGCGATTTATCTTTTACGTGTGATCCATACGTGCCACTACCTAACTTAAAAAACGGTGGAAAAAAAGGTTAATCAAATTTAATTCCCAAATAAGTTGTCGTGAATTCTTTTAACATGTGCTTATGTCTACCTGCCTAGTATCGTAACTGGATTGTGATTGATGGAATGTTCAGTTGACGCACATGTGGCAACATCTATATAAAAGTTCGCCACTACTGAAAGATCATTGGTAGCTACGGATGGCTGCAAAGCAAGATCTTGTCTATTTAAAACTGCTGCTATTAAAAATTGAAAAACTGATATCATTGGGCATTGCAGTATCTCAAGGAACCGTCGGAAACATTTCAGAGAGGACTGATCTAAGCAATGAAACTACCTGTAACTGAGATTATGTGCGCCATTTGCTTATTCCAGCTGCGTGCGATCCAATTCATTAATAATTTCGTCGAACTGCCACCAATCACCAAAACATTATCCGTTAAGGGCTTCAAAAATGCTGAAGTTAGTGTCGAAAGCCAACTTATCTACACATACTTATATCCACTTGTGATCTTACATACCTTGAAATAAAAATGGAAATGCAAATAGGAGAGAATAAAGAGGTAAAATACCTTCTGAATGTGACGAATAAAATAGTCCCCAAAGCGTTTCGTAACCTTCGTGTCAGCAATATGGACCATGTCCTGCAAAAGATCATACATTACGCTCTGCAGTAATCCTCTTGACGACAATATTTTGACCTCTCTAGAAAACAAAGCTAGTATAGAATGTTCAGAATTATAAGTTGCGTAAGTAAATAACTCACGTCATCAATGTAGAAGTCAACATCAGCATTAGACAAAACACTCCCATCGTTATTGATCACATGGGTCTTGTGCTTATACGTGAGCAACGCCACCCTGGTCGCAGTATATAATCTAATTAGTATCTGACGAGACAACCATGCGTTTTCGCCAAAAATTTTAGAAACCTTATACGAGGATAGCACGTGCAACCAAAAGTGAGAAAAAGTAAAATGAGAGGGGTCAAATGAACCTAAGAGTGGGCTCGTCAACATCCATGAAGGATGCAAGCTTGGAAATGGAGATGGTAGTGTACAGTTTCAAGAAACTCCGGATGCTAGAAAGAAGTTGCTGTTGTCTAACCTCGGACAAAAACAGCTTCAGCTGCAACCTATACGCATCCTACAATTTCAACTCCATCCATGCATTCAGTGACTTGGCTAGATGACCAAAATTTATTGTAACAAAATAGTAAGTAAACTGCGAGAAATGACTCCGAATTTTACATCATAAGACCCACGCATGAGCGTAGCTTTTGAATGAATCGGACCTGATTAAAATTGACAAGAGGCTCATCATAATTTGGTGGTGATGGAGTGATGAACTTGGGACAGGCGTAAGAGAACAGCTCGTCAAACATGGCTTCATCATTGCGTTGCATTCGCAACATCTTCTCAGCATACTTCTCTCGCAACTGATTGTTAACATTTTCCTCGACCAACTTCGGATGAGGACAAAGCGACAAGCAGATGGCGAGAAGAGCATACATCTGCTCGTTCTTCTTCAAAATCTGATCATACTGTGATGAGCGCTGGTGATACTGCTTGGTCTTGAAAATGTACAAGAGTACTTGATTGAAAGATCTGATGGCATCCACATATCTGAAAACAAATACAGAATGAGTGATCTCAAGTTAAGAGAACGAAATAAGAAACCGTGTTCAGAATGTCAAATGGATTCCACATAAGCCAAAATCGTCAGAACCTCCTCACAAGAAGAATTTCGATGATAGAAACAATACCTTCGTAACATGAGATTGGCGAATCCATAATAGTAGATAGTCGTAATTTGGCAGCCGATAACAGTGTTAAAGACTCCAGGCTGGTTTATATCAATAGGTGCGAGGGCACGGAGACCAGTATGATAATCACCTAATAGGCAATGAACCCGCAGCAGACCCACTATGCTGAAGTACCCCAAGACTTTCAGCACATTCGTTCCACCATGGTAATCATAACCATCCGTAGCAGTAAAGGTGACATTTCCCTCATTCTCTTCCTCCAAAATCTGAAGAATCATTGATTTCTCGATCAATGCTTGGAGGTAGTTCAACACTCCAACGACGTTCCACACCTGCTCAACCCTCCAGTTATAACAGATTCGATATGATGTCGGCCAGAAAATAATAAAAAATTCATATTAAAATGTAAACCCACGACCACTGGTGCATGCAAGCGGCGGACATAAACAGCAGAGAGCAAAGCCATAAACCCGTCAATGTGTATTAGGGGTTGCGCTTGAAGACCTGACGGTGAAAAATTGGTAACAAAGCCCCAAGCGAAGCTCGTATATTAGAGCAACCAAGGTGAGGACGATGCGGGAGCACCCCCAAACTCTACTCTTAATTGAATTTTATAATTTGAGAAGGTGGAAACCGGGCTGATCAAGGTTCATTGACCTAATACATGAACCCCTAACACTAGATCCGAAACTGTTCCCTATTAAGCCCCCGCCTTCCGTCTCCATCCAACTTTCGAAAAAACAGTCTGTTCCCTACCTCCTGACCAGGAAAGCGGTGTTCGGCAGGAGGCTGTAATAGGAACTTATATTAGAGTTTAGAGCGCAATAGATTGAACATTTGCGGGTCGCTTGGGAGACAAAATATCTAGGGTATCCAGCAAGGACACATGTACTGACTTCAAATAAGACGAAGTAGAGCAAGTAAATCATTCTGAAACTGTAACGTATCAAGAAACAGAAACGATATTAAGGGAGCAGGGGTTTAAACCTCATCAATCTGTCTCAAAACAGCCAGCTCTTGATCGGTCTTCTGCTTCAATTTGGCGCGGTACTGGCAAAAGGACTGAAACTGGTAGATGAACTCGTCAATCATGTCCCATAACCATTGATTAGGGAGCTGCATGTTGACATTGCCGTGAAGGATGACCTGGAAGAGATTGCAATAGTTGTCCCACGAATCGCACCGCTGCTCAAGAGTGGGCTGAAGGCGCGCGTAGACATGGCGAAACCACATTTCTTTGTAGAGAAGGCAGAAGACATGATCGTTTTCGACGTAGGGAGCAATCATGTCCACGATAGGCCAATTGCTTTGCTTAAACAAGCGGTCGCTGAGTTTCTGGAAACTGCCCTCGTACATCTGGTGAATCTCGTACACGTTTTTCTCGCGGATGTGGCGGTAGAGATAGACAACAAAGGTTCTAACAACGTCGGGGACGTAGTTGGCGGTATCAAAACCGGGTTCAGGTGGCTGCAGGTCACGGAAGCCATCACGGAACTCAGGACGGTCATCGTAAGAGTCATCGTAACCCCCTCCAAAGTCACGGTTGCCGTCGTATGCCATTGCTAGAAGAAGAGGGAAAAAAAAGGAGGAATGAAGAGAGGGAGGGAGGGAGGGAGGAGAGGGGTGCCGCAGAGGTGACACCACGCAACCAAAACCACACGGGGAGCGTGGGGAGAGAGGGAGTGTCGACGGCCCTCCCAACCCTAAAACACACACTGCGGGCTGCTGCAGTGTCCAGTATCGCACTCCAGTCCAGCCCAGCCCTAATGCCGAGCCTTTCCTTCCCTTCTTTTTTCATTTCCTTCTTATTCCTTCTCTTCCCTATTTCTTTCCCTTTTCCTTTCTTTTCCCCTCGCTTTCCTTTCCTTCCGTCCCTTCCTTTTCCTATCCCTTTTTCTTTCTTTTCCTTCCATTTTTTTTTCCTTTCCTTCCGTCCCTTCGCTTCCTTCCTCCCTTTTTCCTTTCCTTTTCCTTTCTTTTCCTTTCCCAACTCTTTCCTTCTTATTCCTTTCTCCCCTTTCTTTTCTTTCCGATTCTATTCCCTTCCCCTACCTTTCCTTGCTGTTCCATTTCCTTCCATTTTCTTCCCTTCCTTCCCTTTCCGATCTTTCCTATTCCTTTTCCATTTCTTGTCTTTCCCTTCCCTTCCCTTCCTTCCTTTTTCTTTCCTTCCTTTTCTTCCCTTTCCTTTTCTTTCCTTTCCCTTTCCTTCCTTCTCTTCCCTTTCCCTTTCTTTCCCTTTCCTTCCCTTCCCTTCCCTTTCTTTCCCTTCCCTTTCCTTTCTTTCCCTTCCCTTCCCTTTCTTTACCTTTTTCTTTCCTTCCTTTCTTTTTCCTTCCCTTCCATTCATTTCTTTTTCCTTTCTTTTCTTTTGTTTTTTTTCCTTTTCCTTTCCCTATCTTTGCAATAGGGGAGCTTCATTTGTTTACAATGCAAGCTTTATGCTTGTACATAAAAGTCCAATAATTAAATCATAAATTTTGAATAAATAAAAAATTATTTGTATTTATGTTATCTTTTTTATAATTATTTATCAAAATAAAATTAATATCATTCTAATTAATCAATATCTTGATCTTTCAAATTATAAAATATTACTAAATCTCCTTGATATTTCTATTGTAATAAGCCAATTGAGTTTTTTTTTTATCAAATTTAATAATTGTTTATTTAAATATCATGTAAAATAATGATGAATATTCAATTTAATTATTATAAATTAATATTAATTTAAACAACCATATAAAGTACACAATTTTGAATAAAAGGTATAAAAATTCATTTAATTCATTAATACAAATTTTAAAAGAGTGACCTTCATCAACTTCAAACATGACATAAGTAAAAATGATCTTAGCTAATCATAAGATGGTTATAAATATAAAAGAATTAATTCTATTTACTATTAAATTAAATTTTAATTTACTTAAAAATATTATCCATTATAATATTTATTCTTAATATAGATATTAAATCTATATTATCTTGGCATTAAAAAAGAATATTTTTTATGTTTTTTTTAAATCTATAATTCTATTAATAAATAAATATGAATAAAATATAAGATATTTTAATTTACTTTTATTTTAGATGTATTTTATCATTAAATAAGAAACCTAAAAAATAATAAATGTTTATAAAGAAATCTATTAATTATATTTGTACGATCTTTTTGTTGAAATCTTAGTATACATAAAATACATTTTGATCAATAAGAGATACATAGAACATATGATAGATCTTCATAGACTTTGATAGATATAATTGATATATAAATAAATTGATTTATCTATAAATAAAAAATTATCAAAGTTTACAGTAATCTAACTTGCCACAAAGACAATATGTCTTAATATTATGACAAAGTAATCATAGCTTATTACTTATATAAAATTTAGATTTTTTCATTTAATAGACATCCATATTGAACTTTTATTATTCTTGAGCTTCTTTTCATTATGCCTTCATTTTTACATGTAGCTTTGATAAAAATTCACCAAATGTTTTACTATAGCATTATCAACTTTTGAAAAGTAAAAATATCAAGTTATGTACAACATCATTGCCCGGAGTTTGTTT